GTCTCTCACTCTCTCTCTCTAGGCGAAAGGTGCGTTTAACCTTGAAATTGTTTTTGTTGCTGTTCTCGAGGGCGCGCGCAGCATCAAGTTATGGCTAGAAAAATCGATGCTGCGGCTGCTTTGCATGGCATTTTCTTGGCCCCCAAATAAAAGGGGTTGCTTGGCCTAATTTCGAGCAGGCATTTGTCTGGAAGTAATTAATAATTTTGGCACATTTATACAGCAGCAGCATCAGGTCAAGGCTGTCAATTAAACGCGCCAAAAGCGAGGGCTGCCTAGGCAGTTCAACGAACTTCGGGTAATCAAAGCTACAGGTAGACAGGTGGGCCGAGGGGGGACTAGCGGCCAACACATAAAGGTTTCGATGAACGGGCAGCAGTCAAAGTCGGCAGCCACTGCGAGGGGAACCACTGAAGGCAGCAGCAACAAGTTGGGTCTTCACTCCAAAGGCGGGCAGCAATACATCAAGCGAAGGGTTGCCGAAAGCCACGCACACACACACACACACATACACATACATATATATATATATCTATATATATATATAAACAACACACAGACACGCACATTGGGCCCTGCCTAAAAGCGCTAGCAACTTTTTATGGGGCGCCCATTTGCTCATTATGATGACGACGTCTGCTGCTGCTGCGGCTGCTGCTGCTGCTGCTACTGCTGCTGTGCTTAGGCCAGGGGGCAGCGGGCTGCAAATGTGTCATAAAAGGCGCAACAGTCTACAGTCTGCATGTGCGGGCTTTTGGCATTTTGATAGGGCTACTCAGCTCCACTTTTTGTGCTCGTTTCTGTTTGCCTTTTCTGAGTGCGCGCGCGACGGCACCTACCCGAAATCCACTTGGCCTAGGTCAGGTTCTTAAATGCTTGCCAGTGTGTGTGTGCCTGTGTGTGTGTGTGTGTGCGTGTGGCCTTTGCGGTTTAAGTTGGCTACCTGTTGCACAGTTTTGTCGCCCTCGGGCTTTTTGAGCCTGTCCAAAACGGCAGCCACAACAACAACAATATCTGGGCCCAAATTACGTCTCATTATTATGTCGCAGCTGCTGTCGAGACTTCTTTGTTGGCCCAGTACAACAAAAAAAAAACAGCAACAACAAAAAATAAAGGCTAATAACGGCAATTAAGCCAACATGCGTTTTCAGTTGTTGGCGCTAATAAAGTCAACTAAAAAAAGTGGCAACTAAAAAATTGATTTCCAAATTGATTCAGTTTCGTCTGCAGCTCATAAACTGTCAGCGCCTTGGCGCAGGATGTGAGCGACAGGAAAACAAAAAGCTGAATGAATACAGAAGCAGGAAGCAGCTGCTGTGTGCGAGTGTGTGTGTGTGTGTGTGAGTGTGTGCTTGCCTATTTTTGTTCCAATTTCAGGCGACTTTTGTAGGTCGTCGGCCTTGCGGCACATGGATGCTTAGCAACGCCTGCGACTAACTCGATTACGTGTGGGTGTGTGTGTGTGTGCGTTGCGTCTAGGAGCTGGCTATTATTGAAGGATTCTTCATTTGATTCTTAACAGCTTTTACTTCCGGTCGCTGTTTTGTGTAGTCTTTACGTTATATAATAAAATATCAAGCATATTATGAACAAAGATGTAGTAAAGTTTATGCTTTAGCAATACTCTGTAGCATCTTGCTGAAACGTTTAAACTTTTACGTATAAGAAAATGAAAATTATAATGCTTGTTATTAGTTGTTGTTATTAAAAAAGAATATATTTGCCGAGACGCATTTGAAATATATCGGAAAGATATATATTAAAAGAAAATTGATTAACACGGTTTTCGAGCCAGCAAAATATATGTTTAAAATAAGGAAAGGTCGTCAAAACCAGCATTAAAAAAGCATATATTATAGTGAGACGACTTGCCAATTGAATTACCAATTGCTATAACACCACAATATCAATTTTTGTAGTCTTCGCTAGTTAGTCAGAGGCTACACCAAGAGCTGAAGTACGATGAAGTTTTCTTCAAGTCCAGGCTAGTGTCTGCATGCTGGTCCATCTCAGCCTAGGGCTGATAGTTAGAATATTTGGGTTAATATACCCAATATATTATAATTCCACTAATGACGATTTAAAGATTAGTACGTTAGTTTGCAATAGTACACATACAGGTCTTGAGCCCAAGGCATATTGTGCATATTTCTTGTATACTTATTTCATTTATTATAAATACTCGACGTAATAAGTGTCAACCTTAGTAATTCATAAAAATAATTATAAAAGAATAATTAAAAGCTAAAATGTCTAAGCGGTATACCGAACAGCGACACGAGGGGTTATTTAATTTGCGTGTTCAGGCAGCTCTGTCCCAATTCACAGCCTGTTTTGGCATGTTAATGGATCCAAGCCATTTTCGAGCATAAATGTATAACTGATAGATAAAAATCAATTGAATCAACAGCTTACAATTATTATTAGAGGTGCACAACAATATAATTCTATAAACAGCTACATTCAAAAAACAGCTGCATTCAAACTTCGCTGATCCAAAGTCGTGTTTCTCAGTTTAAGTATTCAAAAAATGAAAAGCCATGTTGGCCAGCTTTAAAATGTAATTCAATAAATCAAAAGCCATGTTTTCCAGCTCAAAAGAACTTGGGCTTATTATGTTAAACTATTTAAACATTGTTAAGTTTAGTCGGGCAGCTTAAACTAAAGTTTTATCAGACTCGCTTGGCAATAGACGAAATAAAGGACAATTTATGTGCACATATTATTTAAGGACACCTTTAAAATTGCCTTAAATAATGACGCAATAGACAAGAGCCCATAAAATAGATGTGGAAAAAAAGATAGTGCACTTGGGAATTCACTTGAAATGTTCTGTGTGAGGGATCAATTTGAATGGAGCCTGCGCATCGCTCTGTCACTCTTCGATTCGCCTTCTCTTGCCACTTGCTGTGTTTTGGGCACAACTGTACCCTGGGAATGCTGCAGCATATCAGTTTCCAGAAAAAGTCAGCAAATCACCTCTGAAAACTCTTAGCTTGACTAATTTTAGATCAGCAGCCCCCAGCCCCATCTACATGTGTGTGTGTGCGAGTGTGTGAGTGTGTTTAATGCGCACCAAAATCCAAGCCCATGTGACATCGACAAGATGTCGTCTTTGTCGTCATTGCTGCTGTCATTTCGGGGGGCTGTTGCGACTGCGTCTGCGTCTGCGTCTGGAGCCTGGGACTGGCAACGGGAATGGGTCTGGGACTGGGACTGGGACTGGGAGCATGGCACGCTTGCAGCTTGCATTAAAATAATTGCTTCCGAAATGACAACTGCTGTTAAAAGTGGATGTGGATGTAGTAGATGCTGCTGCGGATGCCCAAGACATGCGCAGCCCCTGACGGAGATGTTCATGTTGATGTGCTGGCAACATGTGCTCCCGCTCTGCTGCTCCCGCTCTGCTCCCCCTGCTGCCGGCTGGTCTGTGTGCGCGCCTGCGCGTGCCAACATTGTTAATGTTGCCACAGTCTTCAGCCAGCAGCTACGGCATTTTGTGCCGCTGCCGCTGCATCTGCCGGGCGTTGCTTATTTACCGTTAAGGCGCAGCCGTCTGTCACTCAGGGCACCCGACGCGGCACCGTAGGGACGGGGGCATTCCAGCAGCACTCCTGCGAAGCAGCCACGTCCATTTCCACATAACATTGCCTGCTTTGGTACCCCATCCTCAGGCCAACCCCGACCCCAGGCCTACCCTGTCCTCCGCGCTACTCTGCACTCCTCCACTCCGCCAGTTGGCGCTCGTCTGGGCCCATATGTCGCCTGCGTCTGCGGCGTCTATTTTCGGACGCCACGCCTGCGCGCCTGCGCACACACAGACGATGCTTGCGTGTGTGCGTGTGGGCGGGCACTAAATTTCCATTTGGATTTTCAATTTTCCATTTACCGTTGCGCGTTCAATGCTCAGCACTTTGCTTAATGGTTCCTGTGCGCTGAAGCACTTTAAGACGCGGCCGCGTCTCAGGCTCTGGGAATTATATTTATGACGCTGCGCCGGAAATAGATGCCGAGTTCGGTTTTATATGAAGTCACGGCCATAAGTCTTGGAATAAAATATGTGCAGCATTTGTCATGCTTATTGGCATTAACTGACGCTCATCTTACGAGAAAATCTCGATCTCCCTGCCTTGAAATTAGAAGAACGCGTTTAGCTGAGTGTAATAGCTGTGTCAATGACATTTGCTGTAATTCCTTTCAAATAATAAGTTAAATATGGTTTATTTGTATACCTGATTAGTATTCTCAAAAGTTTTCTTAATATTTTGATTAATCTTGTAAAAAACAAAATTAAAAGAAGCTGCCACAAAAATACAAGCAGTGCAACAGAAATCGCTAGCAAACCGCGCGCGTTAACAGTGCTGCCAAGTCTGCTTAGCAAACAGGCAGCGTTTACTGCTTGCGATACACTGCTTACTTTGAACCTCTTGTGCTAAGCATAGACACTGCTTAAAATAAATTTTATTCTTGCTGTCAACTGCTTTAGGTGAATAACCGATGTAATAACCACCAGCAAGTAGTTCACAAGTAAGCAGTTTGATTTGCCAAGCAGTTGTGCTGTTAACGACGCGGTATTAGATGGGGCTGTAAACAGCGCAGGTTGGTGTCTTGGCTACTCTATGTGCCGCAAAATGTAAAATTGGGAATTTTAAATTTTAATCGCTTAAAAATTAATTTAAAAAATAATAAATATATGCCTAGCAAACTAAAACAAGCTAACCACTGCAAGAAAAATGGCTTTAATTAATGCAAATTAACTGTTAATTCATTTTTCATTTTGACAAGTACATTTAATTTAAGTGAAGAAATATTTTATTGTGCATCTGACTAGCATATTTAATGACATGAAGAAAGCGTTAATAATGAAGAACTGTCAAAAAGATATGCCGCTTAACGAAAACCCTATTCAGCTCAACGCTTGACCAATATTTATTTTAATATTTTGGAAATTATCAAGTTACTTACGAAAATGTTTGCCTTTGCATTTCTTCGACTTTCAGATCGTTTACGGCGCCGACGGCCAACCTGTTCGTGCAGACGCCAAGCGCGGACGCGGCAAGGGCAAGTCAACTGGCGCCAATGCCACCGTCGTCAATGCCACAGCTGTGGCCGCTGGCAATGGAACACCAACAACTGGGGTAAGTGCATCCATCTGTTTTACTCTAACGTCAGCTACTGGTTAACGCCTCCAGCCACTTGAGTTTGATTGCGCCACAGTCGCCGTCGAAGTCGAAGTCGCAGTCGCAATCGCAATCACAATCCACAGGCTGGCACAGTCAAGCAAGCTAATTAAGTCACGCGGCAGCAGCAGACAGTTTGTCTGCGGTTGAACAGACCCAGTCCCAGAGCCAGAGCCAGGCCTAAACGCTGACTCAGTCCGCAGACCCATTTTGAATGCCTGCCGCGGCATGCGCCGCATTTTCCACGTCATCACGCCGGGGCATCCGCATTGTTTGCGCAGGCAGGCAAATGGGCAACAGGCTTCAGTCTGCCTGCTGCTACCCTCTATTCAGCAAAAGTTGAGTGCGCAAAAAGCCAAAGGCAGCACCAGCACCAGCAGCAGCAGCAGCAACAGCAGCATAATCCATCCACCACGCGTTGCACGTAGCAAACTCGCAGAGTCAGTGGCAAGCGTTGGGGTCAACCATTTGCCGTTCTCTTTGGCAGCAACTTCATCAGCAGCCGCAGCGCAAAAAATCGGAAAAGGGCAGACAAAGTTATGCTCCCAAAGGCGGCCACTGAAGTAGCAACATGCCGCACGTACCAAGACCCAAACACAGCGGCACAACCAGCAACAGACCCAGACCCAGACCCAGACACAGGCCCAGACGCAGGCACAGACCCGGTCGAGCTAGCTACTTACGAGCATTGTTTGTTGGCCAGACGGGAGCTGCGGTGGGAGAAGGGACTGTCTGCGACTGGGGAATCAGCCATCGGTCCGATGGGTACACTGCCGGCAGCTAGACAGACGCTGACATTGGGCTTTGACTTTGACCTTAGCCATCCATGGGTTCGACACGCAACTTTCATATGCTGCCGGGTTGCCTGGTTGCCGGGCTGCCGGGCTGCCGGGTTTCCCTCTTTCAAGGTCGTGCCTCGTAAAAAGTTGTCTAATTTAATCGTCATTCACACACTTCCTGACTTTCTCACTGCGTCACAGCCCAAAAACGAGACCCAGCTGCTCTTTTATCCCAAACGCTGTCATTTAATCTCCGATTATGTTGTCATTGCTTTGCTTGGCTAAATCTCTTTATGAAATTGCGTGGGTTTCTCGTGTAATAATAAGAAATAAAAGCATTTTGGTAAAAAGCGAAATTTAAATATAGTCAACTAAACCTTTCGTTTTTGGGGATAAAAATAATTTATTTAAATTTCTATTAATTTACAAATTTATTCTTGTCAGGAATCGTAGACAAACAGTTTTTAAATTCCAGAGTTTGAACCACAGCTTTTCCAATCCAATGGTTCTAATACCAGCTTAGAAAATATAGTTTTTAGCTTAAGCTGTTTTAATTCTGAATTTGTGAAATTGTGACGACCGTCAATCAGTCAATCCATAAATTGTCAAAGTAACTGCAACTCTGATAAAGCTAGTCATATACTTTTCGTTAAGCCTGTGAAATGTGATATTTTTTAAGGAATGTGTTGCACATATAGAGACTGTTGTCCTATAGAGACTGACAAACTCTTTTAGTCCTACATGGACTAGTACGCCCAGCAGCTAATAAGCGTAAAGAAATGTGCCACAAGTCCTAGAACTTTTATCGTTTATCTATGAACTGTGTTTATCTAGCTGCCAATTACATTCCGGGCCCAAATCTGTGCATGTAGAGCACATTTAGTTCGTGGATGTCTTCAAAACAACTTTCCTTTCGCGACTTTATGCTCTCCGTCTCTGTGTGAGTGCGTGTCTTCAACTCGGGAACCTTTGTAAGAAATTGCCGCAGCCGCAGCAGAGGATGGTCGTAAAAAGTAAGACAAACTTGAGAGTCATTCATAAGGCTACAGAGTTTATCCTGCTGCTGTTGTCCTTGTGCGGCATGTTGCATGCCACACCCCATTGTTGCTGCCACTTTAATCTGGCGATTTGTCTTGGCGGCGGCGGCAACAGCTGTGTTTATGTCCACATTCGCAACCAGGGTGTCCCGTCAATGAAGCGTTGATTATGTCGTCATGGCCACACACACACACACTCGCACACACACGCAGCACAGCAACTTGACATTCCTTGGCAAGCCCATAAAAACGCAGACAGACAACGATGCCAGCAGGCAGCAGGCAACAGGCAACATGCCACATCCTTAGCTGCCAGCCAGCCAGCAAGCAGCAAGAGTCGCAGCCAAATCACGTTGCTCCATAAAATGCCAAATGTGCAACAAGTCTCGCTGGTTGCTTGCCGCTTGACTCTGTGGCAGCAGCTCTCACTGCGTGCCACTAACGTTGCGCCGCTTGACATTGACACTGGCAAACGACGACGGCGACGGCGGCAGCTTCTTTAAGTTTTGCTGCGGTTGCCTTTGAATTGCTGTGGCACTTGGTGTTCGACTTGCTGCTCGACTTGGTCTTCCTCTCCGTCTCGCACTCGGGCATCGTTCTCGTTCTAGTCTATTGCCAGTTGCCCGTTGCCAGTTGCCAGCCCGTTGGCATTTTGTGTGCCGCTGCCTGCTGCTGCTGTTGCTGCTGTTGCTGCTGTCTTTCCGGCAACAGTTGCAAAGTTTGTCCATGTTGCCGTTGTTGTTGCAGCCTTTTGTTGCCTGCGTGGCTGCCTGACTGCCTGGCTGGCTGGGTGAAAGTGAAGTTTCGCTGGTTGTCCCAGTGACCAACAGCAGCTGGCAGTGTTGGCTGCCACCACGTCACCCAAAAATGCAGGTCGCATTGCATTGCCATTGGCAGCTCGTGACCTTTATCGCCTGCCCCCCAAAAACGAGCAAAACAAAAAAAAAAACAACAACAACAAGCACCACAAAACATGAAATAGTCACCGCAACAACACGCGGTCGGGTTTCGGGATTTGGCAAGGACAACGCCAAAAGCGTCGCTCCTCCATTTAGCTCCAACTCTCCGACACCTACACAGCCAATGGCAACGTGCAGCGCGCAACGTGCAACGTGCAACGCGCCACGTCAGCTGCCGCATTCATGTTTGCATGCAGTTGCCAGCATTTTTGGCAAACGCTGCGCTGCGCCCATTGTTCAAGTCCGTGTCGGCCTTTGTTGCCCGTCGACTGACCCTGTCCTGGTCCCGGCTTTCGTCCCGGTGTTGGTCTCGGACCATGGCCATGGCTACTGCCACGGCCACTTGCAACTTGTTGCCGCCGCGTCATGCAATCTGCATATCTGCATGTAGGCTGCTCCTGACGGACATCGTTCGGCGCTATCGTTGCCCTACACTGTCCAGCGGGTGTTTGCTCGAACCTGTTATGTAAATTGAAAGACTTTATCTGAGTAGGAGCATGTTTTCCCTAAGCCAAAGGTCGGTTCTATAAGGCATGGGTAATTACTCTCTACTCTTAAATATATTATTACTTCATTCTGAAGAAAAAATCATAAAAGAGGAAAATAATAATATGAAGTGTGCCGAGTCTATTGTTAGCTATAGAAACAATTAGAATTTCCCTAAATTTCTTTGCATATGGAAAACCTATGCTATAAAAAGCTCTGCTACCTTACCATGTTGCACTGTGTAGGCTGCGGCATTTTGGCTTTTGCATTTTTAAGCCAACACCCACGCCCCAATTCCGACGCCCAAATGAATTGAATTCTTTTTTATATGCGTGCCAAACAGCTCGTGTGGCAACTCGCAACTCGCAACTCGCAACTCGCAACGTGCAACGTGCAACGCAATTAGTCAACACACACTCGCACACAACGAGGCGATGCAATCAGCTGTCACAATGTTTGGACAGGGTCTGCGCCTCGTTCCCCCCAGGGCGTTGGCGCACGGAGTGTGGCTTGTGGCTTTGCCCCACTTGAATGGATGCCGCACGCTGCACTTAACGTCTAATTAGGCGCCGCTCAAAAGCCGCTCAACGGGTTGCCGCCTGCCCGGTTGCCGCCTGGTTAACGCTGGCCACACAATGTCAAGGCATGTCCGCGACTTGGCCACACCTTGGCCATCAGTCAAAACCCAGCAACAACAAAAAATACGAAATGAAAAGCAGATATAAAAAACGCACAGCGCAGAGAGGGGGGGACTTGTCGGCGCCATGGCGGCTACCTCAGTAGCTGGCTGCGAGGCACCACCAACCGTGACAGGGACTGTGATTGCGGCTACCAAACGGCAGCCGCAGCAGCAGACGACAGGCGACTCCTACGTGAGCTCGGGCGATGCCATGGCTATGATACCCAAAGAGCTTACATGCGGCTCGTAAAAAACAGACCCACGGCATGGCAGCAGACCAGACCCGACCAGACCAGACCAGACCAGGCGAGCGGACAAGCTGGCAACTGGCAACTGGCAGCAGCAGCAGCAGGCAGACAATTTGTCGTCCAACTGTTTGTCCGTCCCCGGCAGCAACAGCAGCAACAACAGCACTTGGCACCACTTTTGATGTCCCAAACTGAAACGTAATCGAGACGAGGCCAGGCAGAGACCGGGGTAAAGCCAAAGGCAGACTTTTGGCACACACGCAGCACGTGAGGAGCGCCCAGTTGCCAGTTGCCAGTCGCCGGTTGCCGGCTGCCAGTTGGCAGCTTGTTGCGGTTTATTTTTATGTACGAGCAGCCGAGGGACGTAGGGACTGGAATATGTGTGCGATCCATGGCACTTAAGCCGAACAATGAAAGCGCTGCTAAGGCCACGCAACCGGCAACCAGCAAGAGGGAGCCGGCAACTGGCAAGAGGGAGCCGGCAACAGCTGTCGTTTGGGCCACGTCAAAGCCTGGGCCTGGGGCGGCCTCTGGCTGACTGCTGGCAATTGAATTGAAATCTGACCAAGCCAAAAAGCGCGCCTCGTGCGCAGCATGGCATTGAGCCACCATTTGCCACGAAGCCGATTCAGTGTCAAGGCTCTCCGCTCAAGTTCAAGGTCTTTGCCCGCGGCCTGACTGGGCCAAGGTCAGGCAAAAATAAAAAATACAACTTAGCCTCTGCCACATCTAATAATAAAGTCACAGCGAGAAAAAGGTCATTGCGCTTC